TGAAACATTTTGTCAGCTTAATGCAGATAGGAGTGGAGCCAAGAGAGCAACTTTTCCCTACTTTCCCCAGCCTTACTCAAAATCTCAGATTCAGATTCTCTCAAAAGCTTCATGAGGACTGGTCCCTTAACTAAAGGCTGCAACACTGAGGCATTTTTAATATGTTTATTGGCTCTGCCTCTGACCAAAGTTGGGTCATTTATTTCATCCGGTGTGAGTTATATCAAATAATCACACAAAGATGGGTATGAACATTTCAAAAATGTTAGTTCCTACATTACATCAGCCATTCTGATTGGCTGGCTAAATTCACCTCAGCACCCACCTTATCTTTTGGCGGGCTTTTTAATCTCCGGGTAGATTTGCCTAACACCCTCAAGGGGGCACCTAATAACATACTGGATGTAACCTTTTTTCCCTTCTAGAAACTTCTAGCATCTCTTGTGTTGCCATTCTATTGATACCAATGTCAACATATTGAACCAAATATTCAAACAATAAATAATATTTTTGGTGTGCCTTTCAATATTATTTACTGATCACTGATCAGTCAAATTGGTGCCATCTCTTAATGATCGCTTTGATTCATGGGCCTTTCATGGGTATCCCATAGTCACTTTGCTGCTGGTCGTCCTTTTTCCTTCCATCTTTCCCAGCAACAGAGTGTGGATCATTGCATAATGTGCCCCCAGAACCATCATCATTAATAATGGTTGGGAGTGATATCTTCAATCCACCAACTGCTTCAGGACTAATATAGAACTAGAACTCCCAGCCTCCTGTTTCCTGTCCTGGTGCCTGTTACTGCTACATCAAACTGGCTGTCAATCATGGTCCTAGTGTTATCATAGTTTCACCTTCTTGTAATTTCATGCCAGTTACAATGATGTCTACATGGTGACAGCTGGGCTTTGGGTCCCCAACAGATCTGTGTATGTGTGTGTGTGTGTGTGTGTGCAGAGTGTATAGGTGCAGGGGGGAAAAAAATCCTTAACTTCTTCTCCTTTTTTAGATATGGCACTGAGAAGACTTCTGTTCTTTTTGGCAGGTTTGGCACAAATATGTGGTGAGTAAACTGGGCTGTTTGATATATGCTTCTGTTGTTTCAAACGGGTGTAGGGAATTTTGTGGTCTCTCTCTCTCTCTCTGTATTTGCCCGCACATGGAGGGAAAGCGGAGCTTGGAACTATTTCTCCTCAAGATCATTTTAA